TTCCCCTCGCCCTCATAAGTTCTTGGGTTGATGATGGAGCTCGTGGGTCAGTGTCTCTATAACCCCCGAGATCTGCCTGATACGTGGTAACTGTGACCCGCGCCTAACCTACACTAGCACAGGTGGACGCCCCCCTTCTTTTGATTATCTGTGAGTCCTGGCGCCAGGTTCTTCGGAGGAGAATAGAGCCCGCATTGAAGGAGGGCGGTTTATTTTGTATCGCACGCGCCCCGGTCCCGTGTTGCCCCCGCGCACATCTGTTTCTTTTTTTTTGTGGGGAGAGAGGGGGGCGGGCGGCTGCCCTGCGCCCCGGGGCCGGGGCTCCGCGTGGAGGGCGCTCCCGGGGCGGGAGAGCAGCCCCGCGGCTGCGGGAGGTCGGGGCGCCCGCGGGGCCTCCTGCTCCCACTCCCGCGCACTCGGCTCCCCGAGGACCCGCGGCGAGGCTGGGCCTGCGGGTGAGAAGGGGCGACCAGATAAACTTAATAAAGCGACCATCCGCCTGTTAGACGTCACGTCGGAATCTCCCAAGGGAGCTTAGTGCGAAACCTCAAATTATACGGACCGGCTGTGGACCGTTTAATTTTTTCCCCTGTCCCTCCCCCGACCTTCCCAAAGAAAAATTAAGCCACCGGGCTTCTTCTTTCCTTTCTTTATTTTATTTCTTTTTTTCTGAGAAAGACGAAGCAACCACAATAATAAAAGCCCAAGAGTTCTGAGTCTAAAGTCACCACCACGCTAGAATCAGGACTTCAAAGCCAAAGCTCTCAAAAACAAACAAACAAACAAACAAACAACCTTAAAGCAGAGTAAGGTTTTATGAGCCGATGAGCAGAGCTTGGCAGGTTTGAACATTTCTTAATATCAAACTCCAATCCCAAAGCCTCAAAATACTTAATTTTCATTTCATGATTTTGAAGTCATAAAACTTGCAATGTTTTCGTATATGTAAAAACCAGCTTTTTAGGTAACTGGAACTTGTTACTTTATTCACTTGGGGAGAAAATCCTAGTTGTTATTTTCTCTAACAAACCCATTTCCACTTCCTCATTTCTCTCGTATTTTGTTAAAAAAGAGTCAGATACATATTAATAGTCTCCCATGATATATAGCAGAGAAAATAGCAGCAAAGAGAGTCCCTTTTCTGAATCTATTCCTACTGTGAGAATGCCAGAGAGAAATTATAAGAAAGTTTGTCATGTTCTTGTACCAAAGGGCCCTTAATTTGTAACGAAGAGGCAATATCTACAATGGTTAGGAACTCTGATCTTCTAGTACCGTCACCACAAAAGTGAGTTATTTAAACATTTAGAGCCTTAATTTCTTCATCTGTAAAATGGGGAAACAATAGTTTCAACCTCAAGAGATGTGTGAAGAGTCAGTGGGGTAATGCAAACATGTGGCACATAGAACGCATTCATTAAATACTACCTGTGGTTACAAGCGGTGGTTAGAGATTAACTTTTGAAAACAAGCAATTTTCAAATTCAGAATATTCTTTGTTCAGAGGCCTCATAGTCAAAAAAGTGTCAAGGTATTTGGTTACAAACAATAGGAGCGCATATAAAGCAGCTAGCACAGTAGAAAGCATTTAACAGGTGCTCAGTGATCTTTATTAGGTCATCATTTCTTAGAATAACATCATGAAGAATAGAGTTAAAAAATAGTACCTAATTCCCACATATATTTGATGAACCCAGGATAGATGTGTGTGTGTGTGTGTGTGTGTGTGTGTGTGCGTGTGTGTGTATGTATATATATATGGCAGTGCCATAATCCAAAAACTTTTATGATAATTTTTGCTTTTTTGATTATAGATCTAGTATTGAAACTTGTTTAGAAATGGTCATCTATACAGACACTTCAAAACTAAACTTACCTATTTAAAATAAAAATAGAACACTGTTTTGAATGATCTACTCTGTATATTCTGAACGTTGAAAATTGATTACATTTAATTCACTGAATATTAAATCACTAAATTATCAGATTTATAAAAACAAGTAGTTTAAAGAAGCAAGTGGTCAAAAGTATTGTTCTAAATACTTAAGAAAACCAGGTTAAATTTTTTCCAGAAGAAAAGCCATATTTATATCAAATTTACATTTGGAAAAGTTCTTAATTGAAATATGCTAATCTTCTGCATTGCCATACAGTAAGATAATTCAAATGATGTAAAATTTCAAAACTTGAAAAGTTTCTAAAGACAATGAAACCAGAGATTACTCTATTACAATGATCAAAATAGTGCTTAATGCTGCAGGTGTGCTAAGTAGACTGTCATTTATGATTTTATTCTTAAACTAATTAATTATACATTTTGAAAAATAACACAGTTTAAAGCAAAAGTTAAAGATGTACACATAGCTACAGTTAAGTAATTCACTAGAATTAAAATATCCTCAATACAGGCATAACTAGCATTTTTTGGGATTTAGATACTCATTTCCTTGAGGACAAAATTATACAATTATACATTTATATTTGCTCTTAAACATGCAAAGGTAAGGGATGTTGTGTGTGTGTGTGTGTGTGTGTATCTTTATATTTGAACAAAATTTGAAAGACTTTGGTAAAAATATATTCTCAAAACTTTTACAATGATACTTTCAGGGCATTTGCAGTTGTTATTAAATAGTACAATATTACATGATCCCAGTTTTATTTTAGTATATAAAGGAGGAAATTGAGAATTCAGAATTATAGGATTTAGACCATAATCTATACCCAGAAGACACCTGTGAAATTACCCAAGAGACTGAATTGACAAGTGATTGTAGGTAGAATTGATTACTGTAATCTAATTTCCATTTTCATTTTAAATGCAAAGATGCCTGATTGCTAGCAATTAGAACCTTATACACATTGGTACACTCACCTATCTTTTGTTTTTAAAACATTAGTTTAGAATATTAAAATTTGTCTTACACATTAATATTACACTGTAAATGATAATTTATAATTCCATTGATAAATCCTTATTGCCTACCACTGAGGACATGAGAAAAATAATATTTATCAATTTTGTCTTTTTTTCACCCACACTATATATTGGGCTAGAATTCTTTAATCTCATCTAATTCTGAATGGCAACAATGTTCTCTGGTTCTTAATGGCTGGTTCTTTTCTGTTGAAATCATAAAACCTCTATTGAATGCAATTGAATGGCAAAAGAAATATATATAGAGAATAATGGGTTAGACTATAGCTATCCTTTTACAAGGTACTTAGTGAATCAATGTCTCATTTTATTTAAACAGTTTATAAACAGTTGTATAGCTTTTGAAAAATGTTCTACAATTGGGCAAACTTTCTCAGAAAACATTTTTGCAGATATGGTACTCTAATTAAAGTATCTGAATGGTAGATTGATAAGTTTTGAGTATTTTCATTTTTGGGTAGTATATATTTAACTCAGACAGCAAGCTTAATAAGATATTAACTACAAATAGAGATGTCAGAAATGAAGAAAGGTCTATAAATACTCAAAATTAAGAAAAAGTTCAGAGGTGTGAAAATAGTTGAATTTAGAGGCATAAATTAATCTGAACGTCTTATGAACATTTACACATTGTTTTTGAAATAAAGGTAGTATTTCAGAATATTGAATACAATTTTCTAGTGCATTATTTTAAAAACTGGCAGTCCTTGCAGACATATTGTTCCTGTAGACATGCTGTTCTTGTGAAAATGTTATTTTGCATTGGATTTTTTAAAATTTCAAATAAAGTTAATTTTGTGTTAAAAAATTTATCATTTTGTAGAGAGAATGCAATCGTAGGCTAATGCCAATAGTCTTTGAAATTCATAATGTTATCTATTATGTAAAACATTCTTTGTCCCAGTTAGCTTTTAACTACTAGTGTTTTAAAACAAAATTAATTATTACATATCAGTTAAATGTGTCTTATAAAATACAAAAGAGCTGACTAAACTTTTAAAGGCTACATCAATTTTAATAACATTTGGAAACATAACATTTAGAAAAAAAGCTTAAATGATCAGTTTTCCATTACCTAGAAACATGTAGATCTTCAGTGGGATAACTAAGCATAATTAAAATCCTTTGGATGAATGTTGAAGCCATATTTACAACTGTCATTTGATTTTATCAGGTTTGTTTTGCTAAGTTATTGCATATTGAACTAGGACGTTTAAAATGACAGTCAGAAAAATGATTTCACCAAAAAAGAAAGTCTTGTTTATGTTCAGATCTGAACCATATTCTTGCTTATGATATATATTGAGGTTGAAATTCTAGGTGAAGCACATCTCTATTTGTGGCTAAATCTACTTCATTTTAAAACCAAGGTAAACTCATTTTATCATAAGGGAAGGACTAGGTATAACTGATGAGTGGATAAAAGATTGTCAGTAGAGGATTTGGCACTGCTATTTGTATTTTCTTCAAGAGAGAAAATGTTCAGTAGACAATTTCCAGAATTTGAAGAATAATCTATAACCTATAATTGCCAGACAGTTGTCATACCAGGTTTTATTTTTTGTGGCCATTAGTGTTTGAATACTAACGCATTTCCATTTTCTTGGGGGTGGTAATAAATGGAACGCCCATCAACCAAATAATGAAATGGCTAGGTTAGAACTTTTGTTTACTTTTTTCAACAGCTTTATTCATTTTGCTTACTTAAAGTATAATACTTATTCTGTGATAAAGAGTACCTACATTTTTTAAAAGCAAGAGTATGACATGTTTTGCTTTCGAAAGGTTGCACTAACTTAAGTATACAAATGATTATGAAACACCTGTAATGTGTCCTGTTTTGTGGGGATATGAGATGATTAAGGCAAGTCCCTGTCCTCAAACTGTTTATAATCTAGCTCTTTGCCAATACAAATTATCAACATATTCACTTAAAAATGATATTCTTAAGAATTGGCAAATCTATATTTCTAACATTTAGAACCAGTGAAATGAACACATACTTTTCATTCATTCTTGTAATAACTTTAACCAAACTACATTGCATTTTATATTTTTTCTAGGTAATTTTCTTTAATGTTGGTGGGATAAAATCTGTCTTTTTCTAAAAATGTTCAACAAAACAAGTGACTTGCTTATTCAGGCAATACAATTTGATTTGTATTAGTAAATCTCATTCTCAAAATTAAATAGTTAATAGTTTGCTTCAGGGAGGACCCTTGTACAGTTCTTTGGAGGAAAGGATTATCTCATTGCTTTCAAGGAAGATGTGCATTAAAAAAAGGGGTTGATGGATTGAGGTCTTATTTATGGAATCTTTAGGTAAAGTCATTTTCAAAAATGAGATTTCCATTACATGCCCAATGCTGGGGTTTCATTTGGAAAATTTGTTTACTCTTCCCTGGGGATTCCATATTCCATATGTTGGTTGATTTATAAATCATATTTACAATCCAATTAAATAGAGTAATTTAGCATGTTTGCTCCCACTATATTTATGGTGTACATTTGGTAGTCTCTACTCAGCCTAACTAGCTTTTCAGATTAATTACATGCCCTTTACTGAAAACATTAAGCAGATTTGGGGTGTTTAAGAAGTGTACTCTTACTGGAAAGAATAAACAAACATCAATGCTACCTGTAGTTGTTTTCCTTTGAGGTGGAAAATTTTACTCTTTCAGTGATTGCTTCATAAATAACAATTACTTTACCCAGTAGAGATTTATATCTTTTACTAATGTCATGTTTCAAAATTAATAGTGAGAAAATTGATGTATTTAATGAGTCACTAGTATGAATGGTGAAGGTGGCAGTTACATTTTAAAGCATGTTTATTCTCTCATCTTGCTTATGGCCATTTCCCCCCTAAATTTCTAAATCTGAACTTTAAAAGTAAAAAGAAAAATTAAGACAAAACTTTTCACTCCAAATCTAGGTTGTAATTTAACCTGAGGGAAAGTCCAGAGCTATTTTTACACTGTTTAAATTTTAAAAAAAATTTTTAAGCAAACATTTTAGCCTCCTTTTGCCTTTTTGTGGATGTCAGATCTCTCCCAGCTTTCCTTCTCTTCTGCAATACAGAGGAGACTAAAATGACTCTGACTATATTGCAGATTTTAGAGAACTTTGAAATGTTTATACTAATAGGAATAATAACATAAAAGCAGGTTTGGTGCCTGACAAAGAAATGCAGTCATAGAATAAGTAAGGTGCCTGAAGGTAGCAGGGGCCTGCATCCAATGTTCTGCCTCCTCCTCATTCCCCGGAACTCTGACGTGAGACTGTATTCCAGCCTGGTTTCTCAGGGGGGACAGTCCTGGGCCAAAAAGAAGTGGGTGCATGTAAGGATATTGTAGACATTGCAACAAAACACTTGAGGAGCCCCTCATCAAGGGGGTGTCAGGGGAGGAAAGGGAAGATGACAAAGCAAGAATTTCAGAGAGCACTGTCATTTTGAAAGATAGAAAAATACAAAGATCAAAAGAATGGGAAGAAAAAAGTTAGTTACGATGATAAACTCACCAACAGGTTTTTTTCTACTAATGAGAGTTGTTTCTGTCATGTATAATGTTAGTAATCTAACCTTACGTATTTGTAAAATGTTGAGCAAAGATTTTCGTTATTTTAATTTGAACCTCAACACTTTAATCTTCATATTCTTATGTTATGATTCTTGGTGCACATTGGCATCAATAATATATATTAATTAATGCTAGAATGGAAGAGCCGAACGCAGATGCAACCATCTTTCTATAACTGACCTGGAATGATTCCTTTCCAAACTAATTCCTCATAGATTATTAGGAAAATCCCAAATAAACATGATCAGAACTACAATCTTGATGCAATGCTAGCTTTCTCCTGCAACTTGATAGCTTAGTATATTCATGCTCATCTGCCGAGAGCCTTAAAGTGCCTCCTGTGAGCCATTTTCTAATGAGCCATTCTCAGAAAGAAGGAAAAATATATTTTTTTAGAAGTTAAGAAACAGAATGAGGATACAGCAATGAGAATCTAGAATAAGAAAGAATATTTTACCAGTTGTTATCTCAAAATATGCCCTAGTTTGAGATTAAATTATGTCTGTCTTTCAATTGTCCAGCAAAAGCAGAAAAATATTTGCTACAGAAGATCCCGTGTCAGACAGGGGTGGTAACTTCTTTTAAACAGGGCCACTGACTTGCCAATTGCCCTAGAGTAAATGGCTAAAATCCTTAACCTGTATTATTGGGTATAAAAAGAGAATAAAATTTATTTATGTTAAATAGTGATGTGCAATGATTTCTTTGTTTAAGAGTACATATCAGCTTTTGGGACCCGTGTAATACATTTTAATTCAACATTGTGTTGTACTCCTTATATGTTATCTTATAATTATTATAAACTCAACAGTACAACACAGCCCTCATTATTTGATAAAATGTGTTGAATATTTCTTCGTGGTAGGACATACTCAAGAAATCTTAGCTTCCTTTCTCCTTCCCAATTTTTCGAAGAACAGGCACTTTGACAAACAGAACATGAGGTATATGCTCTTACAGACCAAGGACACAAGTTTAATTCCTTTACTTTTATTCTTACTGCCAGAAATTCATAATTTAATTCAGTTAAATCACACCCATGTATGTAGTCTACTCCAAATATCACTCTAAATTGAGAAAATAATTTTTGAGACCCCACCATTGCATTCTCAGAGATGTGTAAGTGAAAATAATATCAAAATGAATTAAATCAGAAAACAATTTCTATGTTGCAACTGAACTGGAAAAAGCATCTAATTAACATATGTCTGCTTTACTTACCTCTACGGATTAAATGAGTTTTACTAATAAGAAATCTATTATTTGCATTTTACTTTCACTAGGAAATATGTTGCTATGGAATTCATTCACATCACTACCAGGAAAAAGGATTTACTCTTTCTTTTTAAATCATGTAGAAACTAAAGGGAAAATTAAGTTATTTGAAGAAGGATGTTGAGTGTTCATGCCAAAATCAGATTGGAAATCAGGGTGTTTTTAGTGTTGTTAATAGTAACGATACCAACAATAATTGGATGCCAATAGAGTACTGGTTTCTAGGCAGATGTGCCTGCCAGAGCTGCTGCATTTTGTTTGCAAACAGATTTTACATGTAAATTCATTTCAAGAGATTTATCCATGTGGCTTTTAAAAATTCACATCATGGGGCCTCAAAACTTTGCAAGCAAATCTTCCAATTTCAAAACCACACATATGCAGTTCTTTTATAGTTGGATAGCCAGTTTCCTTTTTGATAAAATAGCTCTGGAAAAAATACCCCCAATCTTCATTTAAAAACCCTTAAAAGACAAACTGTCTGATTTTACATGTCCTTTGTCCAATAAGCATTTATAGCATGATGTTTTAAAATACCGTCCATGTTTTATTTAGCAAAAGTTGCACTCATTTTGAGTTTCTAAACTGACAGCCCACACTCTGTGCACCCCCCTTTCTGGAAATGAAAGCTACACCAACCAGGCCCTTCACAAATGGCTCAACAAAAGAGCCAAACAAAACCGAAGTACGGGGAAGGTTGACAAAGGCATATGGATAGCAGAACAGATTCTAAGAGTATTTAATCACCACTAATTCTTTCCTCACCCTGCATAGCCTTCCTATAATTCTGAATAGCAAAGCAAATACTGTGAATTTTCTGGTCATAGCCTCCTCATAACCTTTGTGGAAAGAATAATATCTTGTCTCTTGGCATTATGTTTGTTTAAATAGCAAGACTGTGAATGCCTTTAGAATATGCTTAAGGTCAAACCGTAAAAAAAAAAAATCAGAAAGTAGAATCAGAATATTGTTAGCTACTACCACTCAAAACTTACAGTCTGCTTCTCTCTAAGAACCTGTGAAATGTCAACTACTGAATGTGATTATTTTCACCTCTTCTCTTTTCCTACTCTTCTTAGGCACCAAATGGCCTCCCAACTGTGAGCAGTTTTGTGTCAGCATCCAGCATGGCTCCTTATCCTACCCCGGCCCAAGTGTCTCCTTACATGACCTACAGTGCTGCTCCTTCTGGTTATGTTGCTGGACACGGATGGCAACATGCCAGTGGCACCCCACTTTCCCCCCACAACTGTGACATTCCCGCGTCGCTGGCATTCAAGGGCATGCAGGCAGCCAGAGAAGGTAGTCACTCGGTCACAGCTTCCGCACTCTGATGGGAAGTTCCGTCTGCAACAGCTTCACCAGGCCCCCCCTCAGCACACCCGCCCCATCTCCCCCAATCTCAGACCTCACCCTCCTCCCCTCCCTCCCTTCTGCCTGGAGAGCTGGTTTTACGGACTCACCTCCTTTGTGCTGATGACACTTAAAAATTTCTTGCCATAACTTCTCTTTCACAGAAAACCTGACATGATGTTAGGATTCAAAAACAAAAGCAATATTAAGGACTGAATGAGACATTTGTGCTGCCCACACACTGTTTTAATGTAGTGAAGAAACCTGCACCCCTCAAAGGGCTTAAGGAACTTTTTAAATGATTCTTTGGTAAAACCACATGTGTATATTTATTCTAAATCAACCTAAACTTTTGAAACGTGCAATTGTTGAGATTTCACAAAATCAATAAAGGAAAATACATATAGAAAAAAGTTATGCTACACCCTCTAATCAAATAAGGTGACCAAATAAGCCTTAATTCATCATTAGGAAACCAATCAATAATTGATTTGAGTGATCCTTTATTTTTAAGAGATGACCTGTTTTGTTGGAGAATATATGTATAACACAAGCAATATCTGAATTTAGCTCCTCCCGGTATTTTGACTTGGTTCCAAATATGACAATGTTTATATTTCTATTAGTTTGTAAATATGGACTCTGGATGGTGCATTTGTGTTTTCATTCCATGGGGTGTCCCCCTCCCCCACTCCTCTATTTTTTCTTTCTTTTTGCAAAGGTGACTTTTTGGCAACGTTTTTGTCTCTGTTTGGTGGTGGGCTGCTCAGGCTCCTGGATCTGGACTTGCCATAAATTCTGTGTGTGCAGGGAAGGCTTCCACATCGCATGAAGGACATTTTCTTTCTACAGCAGAGAATTCGAACAACAGAGAAAACAAGCCAGTCTCCCATTCTGTGCCCTAATCAGACAACACACGTGCCAAGCATACAAAGACAAGGTGGAAAAGGTTCGAACAAGAAGGCTCTAAAGGAAGTCACTTAGAAACTCAACATTTAATGTGAAAAGCTTTGCAAAGACACTTAAAATGAACTTTCTGTTAAGAAAACCACTGTGAAACTAAATTGTACTGTTATCGTTGGCTAACCTGTGTGTTCAGCAATCTCATCCCAAAATTACGTTGTGATTTAAAGAAAATGGGAAATTCTGCTCTAATGAATGTAAAAATGGCTTGCTGTGAAGTTTACATTGTTGTACAGAAGCATGTTTCACATGTAGGTAAACTGGTGGTGGTATTAGTAATACAGATGCTATTTAATTTTTAAAATTTCCCTTTATTCATTTCTGGAGTTACAGGACACCGTTTAACTGATAAATCTTTCTAGACCGATTTTAATGTTAATAATAGAGCTGTGGGGCATATGTGTGTGTGAGCGTGTGATTATATGTTGCATTTTAAAACAATTGATTTTCTTGGGCAAAATTCTAGTTTTTAATCTCTTCTGTTTAGAATGTTCTTCCTGTTTGGCAATATAGGCTTAAAAATATGTTTGTAAAACATTGGTACAATTCACCTGTTGGAGAATTAATATATTGCAAGTTTTTGGTATTAATTCTGTGCAATAACTAAAAGGGCACATCACTAGATATGGTTGTTAGAGATGAGTTAGGTGATTTTGATTTCTTCCTATCTGTGCTGTGCACAGCCTATATGGCAATCAAGTTATCACATTGGTTTCACGGCTTCATTGAACACTCAGATGGCTAGATTAGCCAGGTTTTCAAATCACTAGGATATAAACAGTAAACAGATTTCTGACATACAAGTTATGTTCAAGGAATTGTTTTCTCCAAGCAGCAGATATCTTATAGAGAGCTTTGAACTGCATTTATTTTTAAAGCAATCGAAATTCAGTGCTACAAATAGAGGATTATAACTTCAGGAGAAGAATAAGCAGAAGGAGCAGATGAACTCTCAGGGCCATAGTCTTCCTTTGATCTTGTAAAACTCCTATTGACATCTGGAGTTCCTAGTCTGGTGAGAAAATAGACTATAAACCGAATGAAGCAAAGATACCAATCCAATATCTTGGTGGAGACTTTAAAACCATACCATACAGTGACTCTGCTGCCGTCTAGAAAAACTGACATAAGGTACAGAATTTTTCCTTATCAGATGTTTTTGGGTGGCTATTAGGAGTCTTTAAAAAACTATCAATTGTTTGTATGGAAACATAACTAAATGTTGTTTTCTTTATCTAAATTAAGAAATCTCTTGTTATTATGCTATTTATAATTTTTCTGGTTCTTGTATTTTTTTTTTAAAAAAATCTAATATTAATGCTATCAAAGTTTTCTTTTTTTCTCCCCCCTTCCCTTTAGGTCTTTTCTTAGCAACAGTGAATTCACATGAAATAAATTTAAAAGGACAACAGAAACCCTAAATACAATTTGCTATTTAAAGCAATTATGATTTAAAGCTACTCTTAAAAATAAGAGAAGGAAAATGGAATGAGATATGGGTTTTGGATTTTTTTTAAACATTATTATTATTGGTTAGCGTTGACATATTTCCTCTGTTTCTTAGCGGGTGAAAATGTTTTAAACTGGCAAATGCACTCTTCAGAGATCCTTTTCCATCCCAACCACATGGAGAGGTTAAAGGTTCAATTTCATGGACTCTGTGCAGGCAGTGCTCTCACAGGATGCAAGAGTATCACCTGCAAGGGTAGAATGCGGTTGTATAACAGACACATTCTTATTTCTCTTGTTGTTTTTTTCCCTACTTTTAATGACCCTCTTTTGAATATTGGGCTGAACTATAAATTAAAAAACACGCTGGAAAGGATGTACAACCGAAGGCTGTGTATGTATATACAGTATGTCAAAAAGCCTTTATTTTTATACTTCAAATGCTCTAAATTAATAAAAAGTAATAATTACCATGTTATCTTTTATTTTTTATTTTCAAAATGCTTTAATTACATAGCCTCATGGTACAAATATCCCATAGAAATAGTTAAGAACAGGTGTCACCTACAACGTGCAGATATTTTTGGTGACTTTTGGCTACTGAAGTAGCATCATTTAAGGATGTAGATATAAACTCCTTTGGTTATATCAAGGCCAAGAAGATATTTTTTTGGAGTGCATGTTAGTACAGGAACCTTTGAAATGCTAAGAATGTACTTCTATTTTGAAACATTTTTCCTGAATAATACATATTTTAACACTGCAAATATCATACTCCACACCTGTAGCTGTCACCAATAACTAATAACCTGGCAATGTACTTTACTTTGAATGTTCTTTTAAGAATGGCACAGGTAAGAGTTTTGAACAAAGGCATTTGGGTACAAATACAGACAGCAGACATGGGTCCAAGAAGTGGTTCCAATTTGTGATTTAATATGAACATATTTCAGCAACAAAACTTGTTTTCAAAGGGAACTATGTGAAGAAAAGTAGTTTAATATAACTTCATGTTTTCTATTTGTCATAAAAGACTGCAAATATCAGAAGTTTAAAGTATGACCTTATTTAAACAACAGTACAAAATATAAAGTAGATTTAGGAAAATATAGCTGAAATGTGAATTATTACTAGAAAACTGAACAGATTTGCATTTTAACATAAAAGTGAACATATTAAAAAGGCATTTTAGTGCACCTTTAAAATACTTTATTTGTGACTTTTACATATTATTTATGGAAGAGTTAAATTTTTAAAAAACTTTAAATTTTGGCTTTTTTTTTTTTTTTACTTTAAGCATTTGTTGGCCTCTTGGGGAAAAATAATTATCAATACAATAGATTTTCATTGTGAACCAATGTAAATAAAACATAGGTCACAAAACTTATATTGCTTTTATGAAATATTTCTGACTTCTACACTCTTTTTCTATATCCAGTTTGCATACCTAATTGCTTCATATTATTTTTATTCTTACAATTTTATGAATATGGCCATAACTATAGTCTCAAATTGTCTAGAGATAATTTTTGAAGTATCAAAATAGGTTCTGATCTTAGATTGTTTCCCCCTTTATAATTGTACATAAATTATAATTTATAACTGTATCCGATTAGCTGATGGATAGTTTCAAGGTGCTGTAGAGCAAATATCCATTATCTCCAGGGGTAAAAACACGTCATAGGCAATCACCAGTTCTCCTGAAGCCATGAATAGGTATATTCATAAACCAGCAGCATCACTGCACCACCTAGAAAAGAAAAGAGCTGGCTCTTATCACAATCCTGTAAAACAGGGATGTCTTTCCCCCTGAGAAGTCCCACGCAACCCAGCGGGCAGGGGCTGTTCAGAATCATCAGTTCTTGAGCTCCAATATATAGATATAAAACTACCGTGGAAAATTCTCAGAGCAAAATCAAGACCATCTTGAGTCTCCAAATACATTTCCCCCCCATGAGTTTCTGTAACTTTCATCATTTCTCATCAGATTCCTTTTCAGGCACTTTTAATTTTTAAAAGTAAATAAATATAGACATTTAGTCATGTAAGGCCATGTGGCTTTCCTGCAAACAGAAGCCTTCAGGTTCTTCATATGTAGGCAAAGGATTTATCTTTTTCAGTCCATAATTAGCATTGTTGTAGTTGCATTCAAGAAGAAAATCTCTAAGATGGTGCTTGACGAATGAGGCTGCTTTTCTCTTACAGCTTTCGATTTGGATTGCAATGTGAAAAATAGCTTCTGAATATTAAAAAAATATGTATTGCAAAACTAAGCTAGCTTTCAACCTCCTTTTGTTTTCATTCCTTTTATCTGCCTAGGACATATATGGATTGCACTTGAAAATTTGGTAGTAGGGGTGGGTGTCATAAGAGCACCATTTGTCTTGGTAGAGAAGAGTTATGTAACTGGCTGCAAAGAGGCTTGCTATGTAATATGTCAACAGGAATATGATACAGGAAAACAGGCACAACCCTGTTGAATACCTAGACATCAGGAGAGCATTTGTATGTGGGCGATTTTGTGTTCTATCTAATGCAGTAAATTGCACATGTTCTGTGTCCTTTAAGACAATCTCTATTTCTCCTTTCATGTCTGTGTGAAAACGATTACAAAATCAAAATGTGGACAAATATCCTCAGCACAGCTTAGAGAAGACTTGGCTGAATGAACAGAAGACTGACTTCTAACAGAAAGAAAGAGAACTTGATTTTCGTTCTTTTGTACACACTGCCATATGCTTTCTAAAAAACCTACAGGCTGCACATGTTTGTGTAACTTTATACCAAAGATAATTATCTGCCTGTAATTTTCATTTTTAACCCATGAAGATACTCTACTAGACCCGTCTCACTGCTGTAGCCCTCTTGGCGCTCTGGCAAGCGAGGAGGGATGCACTGCAGAGGGTTGTGGATATGTATGTAACTGCAGTGTTTACTCTTATTAACTATTCACAACGTAAGACAAGAACACACAGAACTGGGCTAGTTTACAGGCTAGTGATATTTGAAGTTTAAACCACAGACTTCAAGATTCTGCCTTCATGCGAGGTGCCTATCAGCAGCCACATAGAGTTGCTAAGGCTGTTACAAAACAAGATGAGATGCTTCTCCAGAATGAAGAATGGAAATTCCAGGCTCACCTCTCTCTCTCTCTCTCTCTCTCTCTCTCTCTCTCTCTCTCTGTCTCTCAAAAAAAATCATCTTACCTTACCTTTCTCTTTACCTTCTTTCATTTGAAGTTGGTAGGACTTGCACGTTTGGAATGAGAGTGAGGCCAGGTGTTAGAATGAGATTTCTAGTTACTCAGTATTGTTTAGCTTGGATAGAACATCCACAACAACCCTTTTCACTGGATTTAACACCACCACAACTCAGGATACCTCATGCAAAAAC